AATTTCCCTCCAAAAATGTATTGCTGGCAAGATTTTTTCTTCAAAAATCCATTACAGACAATATTTTTTCCTTCAAAAACGTACTGCTGGCAACACTTTTTTTTCTAAAATACATTGGCGGCAACAGATTTTTTTTTCTTCAAAGATGTATCGCCGGCAATAACTTTTTCTTTTTTTTTTTAAATATTACTGGCAATATTTTTCTTTTCCAAAAATGTATTACTAGTAATAATGTATTGCTGGTAATATTTTTTTTCTTCAAAAATTCATTGCTGGTAATATTTTTTACAAAAATGTATTGCTGGTATTAAAATCTATTTTTACACTTTCATGGTGTTTTCACCCTAGTTTTGGAGTAAATTATTTTCCCATAGTTGGAAGCCTTACAATTGCTACAACCCCGGTTCAGGGTGGATATGAGAACACAAGAAATTAAAAGGTGGCTCCACGCTCCTCAAACCTCCTGAACAGAGGTCTTGCTGTCGGAAGAAGATTACCCAGGACGCTTGTGTGAATGAATGGCTAAACATTGTGTAGTGGGGATGACAATGGAACAAAAGTTGGTTAGAGCTACAATGGATAGGAAGTTGTGGAGAGACATGATGACCAACATCCTGAAATGACATGGCACGTATAAGAATTCCTTACTAATACAGAGCAGTTCAGTGATAAACTACATGATATCAGAACTGAAGGTAAAAATAGCTATCTTTGTCTCTTTTAGAAATGTAGTTGCCTTGTAAAATCAGTAAAACGTCACAAAACACCGGCAATATCTATTGAATTGTTTGTATATTTGATTGTTGCTATTTTAGGAAAGGATCAGTGTGTGATATCTGTTTCCTGTGACCTGGCCTTTCAGATTTGTAGTCAACTGCGCTTTGTGACCTAAAAATTAAGCAAGCTCAATCTGACGATATTGCCGATAGAAATTTAAGGAAATATGTAACTGTGGATATTTTCAATAATTCCATTAAATTCCAGCTTGACTCGGGTTCCGATCTTTCAACCATTAATTGGCGTACTTGGCGAAAATTAAACAAGACGACCTTCTTAAAAACAAATAAAACAGCAAATTCCGTAACTGGCGAAAAGATTAACATTGTAGGCGAGGTAATACTTACAGTAACACTAAATGGAGTTACCAAAAAGCTCAAAGCCTACGTATTGAAAACTTCAGTTAACTTATTTGGAACAGATTAGATAGAAAAATTCAATCTTTAGGATTGCCCAATGAGTACATTTTTTATACAAAGTACAACGTCCAATTTGGTAAATCTAAAAAAGGAACTCAAGCAACAATTTCCCCAGGTTTTTTCTGGCGGCCTTGGGAAATGTACTAAAATGAAAGCTAAGTTCAAGGTGAAGGACGATGCACAACCGGTATTCAAAAAGAAATGGAATGTCCCTTTCGCTGCTCTAGAGCAAATCAACAAAGAGTTAGATAGACTCGAACAAGCAGGTATTCTGTTAAAAACAGATTTCAGCGAGTGGGCAGCACCTACGGTCTACGTAAAAAAGAAGTCCAATCAAATACGAGTATGCGCAGATTTTTCCACAGGGTTAAACGATTCCTTGCAAGATCACCACTATCATCTCCCAAGCCCTGAAGAAATTTTCAATAAACTCAAATTTTTTTTCTAAAATTGACCTCTCGGACGCATACCTTCAGATAGAGGTGGTAGAACAAAGTTCCAAATTGCTCTGCATAAACACCCATAGAGGGTTGTACAAATACAACAGACTGGCTTTTGGAGTAAAGGTTGCGCCTGCAATTTTCCAGCAGGTCATGGACACCATGCTGGGCGACCTTGACTACACAACAGCCTATTTGGATGATATACTGGTTACTAGTAAAACTACGACAGAGCACCGGAACCATATAATAAACGTATTCGAAAAGATACAAGAATACGGTTTTAAGGTTAAGGAGGCAAAGTGTGACTTTTCTTACCAGAGATTAAATACTTAGGGCACATCATAAATAAAGACGATCGTCGGCCGGATCCAGAAAGAGTCAACGCAATCAGGAACATGCCGGCCCCAGATAACGTAGAAGCGTTACAAAGCTTCCTCGGCCTAGCTAACTTTTAGCAAGGGTTCATTAAGAACATGCAAAATTTGAGAGGGCCTCTCAACCAACTCTTAAAAATGGACAAACCATGGTCATGGACCCCGGAATGCCAAGACGCATTCGAGAAGATCAAGAAAACTCTTACTTCAGACCTCTCCCTCACTCATTACGACCCTAGTCTCGACATCATAGTCGCAAGTGATGCAAGCTTGTACGGCATTGGTACTTGCATTCTTCATAAACTGCCAAATGGTTTGCGAAAAGCTGTGGCACATGCATCAAGATCTCTACTTCCAACTGAGAAACAATATTCCCAAATAGAGAAAGAGTCTCTAGGGTTAATATTCACTCTGACAAAATTTCACAGATATCTACATGGTAGACGGTTCATACTGCAGACGGACCATAAACCTCTAATTACAATTTTTGGTTCTAAAAAAGGTCTGCCAGTCTATACTGCAAATAGACTACTTCGTTGGGGAACATTTCTCTTAAACTATAATTTCAAGATAGCGTTCCTAACATCCAAAAATATTTGCCATGCAGACAGTTTATCGCGACTCATTGCAAAAAATACAGAAGTCTTTGAAGATTCCATCATTGCTACTCTAAGGACAAATTGTGAAATCAAAAACATGATCGGGAGTATCATAAGAGAGCTCCCAGTTACTTTGGCCGACATAAAAAGGGAGTCTCGAGAGGATGAATTCCTTCAATCCATAAAAAGCAAAATTCGCAACAAAGACCCCAAGGTGCCTGAAGTTTTCTCCCTCTGCGATAATGTCCTACGATACAATGACCGCGTAGTGATTCCAAACAGCCTACAAAGAAAAATCCTCAGGGATTTTCACATGGGACATCCGGAGAAGAACCGTACGAAAAGCCTCATGTGCTGCTATGTTTATTGGCCAAACATGGACAAGGACATAGCAGACATGATAGAATCATGCAAAGGATTCGCGCTTGCAGCAAAAGCTCCAACCACGACGTGCAAACCATGGCCAAAAACAGACCATCCATGGCAAAGAATTCATATCGATTTTGCAGGGCCTATAGACAACATGTTACTACCTCATTTTTGTGGATAGCCACTCAAAATGGCCTGAGGTTCTACAATGCAAAAGACCAACAGTCATCGCGTGATTTGGCGTGGTAGTTACAGATAATGGCACTCAATTCACATCAAGTGAATTTAGAGACTTCTGGAAGTCATATCAGGTGGACCACATTACAACGTCTCGGTACCCCTAGGTCGAATGGCCAGGCCAAAAGCTTCGTGGACACTCTAAAAAGGGCTTTAAAAAAGGCACTAGGCACACCGACAGATAGAGCATTGCAACAGTTTCTGCAGGTGTATCGGATAACCCCTAATCCGAACACGCCTATTGGAAGCTCGCCTGCAGAAACAATGTTCGCAAGGAAAATCAAGTCTGTCTTCGACAAACTTATTCCACGGCAAGCAAAGTTCAAGAAAATCGTATGACCTCATAAGAAATATTTCAATCCTGGCGATAAAGTCTTTTTCAAGGCTTACAAAAACAATATAACATTCTGGGAAGTAGGCACCATAAAACAAAGAATTGGCGAACTGGTCTATATTGTCCAAGGACCGAAAAAAATTCACAAACGCCATTGGATCCAGCTCAGAAAAGTCCGTTTGAAGGAATCTGAGCAATCACTACAAAATAACTGTATTAACAGTTTTATTTTTTCTCTCCTTCTCAAAAAGAAAACTCTTGGAAGGGGGTATTGTGAGTCTATATTAAGTATGCGACACAACACTCTACAGAGAGAGATAGAGACACAGTGAGAGCCGCGTACGACTACCAGTATTGGACACTAACATATAGTAAGCTCCGCTTACACTATCTCTGTAACCTGTTGTTAATATATCTTTCTTACATCTAATCCGTGTTCCGTGTTTTCCTTCTGTGGTTCCAACTTTGGCCCCACATCAATAATACATGTAAGTAGTCCAGTGCTTCAAAAATATCTCAGGTTGTGTAGTGGCCAGTCTAAGAAAAGCACAATCTAGAATTCAAACATGTTTTAAACATGTCTTCGCCCGCTGGGCACCATTGTTCTACTTCTATGTGCCGTGTACCTTCAAGACGTTGACGATCATGGCTCTCTGGAATTTCTTGTCCTTTTTAGCTCTTAATACATTATTAAATCTTTTTGTCAACTCCCTTTAATCTTGTCCCGCCATCCATTTACTCATGCTCGCTAGGAAGGTTGGACGTAGTGTTGAGATAAGTTTATGCTACAGCCAACCATATAACGACTATACTCCAGGATTTTCTTTTGATTTCTTTTCTGTTTTATCTCGATTAAATTATTATGTTTTTTTTGTCACTCCTGCTTTCAAATTGTATATCAAATATTCCAAACGCTCTTTTCTGATCAGTAGCCTTTTAACTGGCTTGACACACGACTTAACCACTATAATTGAATATGTGTAGGTAGTTCAACGCTTCTGTTCTAAACCTGAAATGTGGGGTGGTCATACCAAATGATTGGAAGAGTTCATTTGTAGTAGTAGAGGGAGGAATTTATTAGCTGTAGTAGTAGTTATACTAGGAGGAGGGGAAAGAGGAAGAGGATTAGGAGGAGACGGTAGACAAACAGATTTTTTTTTAGATTTGTTAGCATTTCAATCTTAGTCGTACTTTAAGATTTGAACTGAAGATAAAACGCCACTCAGACTCGGTTGTGTGGAAGAAGGGAAAACCTTACAAAAAAAATTTAACAAATGCGCATTACTTAACAGAACTACAGATTACGGCAATTTTTGTTTAATATGGAAGGATGTTTCTATCTAATCTCTCAAAGACTCTCACTGAACTGTTAAAAATTCAAGCGTTTCATTAAAAAAGAAAAAAAATGTGACAGAGTGAAGTCTTCAGACGCCAAAAGATGTCACCTTATGCGTCGTCGGAATGTAAAAAATCGAAAGCTCACTTTAAACTACGGATGTGTGGACCTGCATACGAGACAAGTTTATGCAAGACCCAGACGTATAAAGGCTACACTGTAGGATTTTAGTTTGATTTTTGACTTTTTTCCTTGGTTTATTAAGTTTATTTGTTAACTTTTTTTCTTTTGCCCTGTTTTTAGTATTTTTTTTTCCAAAGCTTTGTTCTCCTTTTTGAATGATTGTTTTTTTTTTCTCCTCCCGTTTTCTGTTGATTGAATTTTCCTTTTTATTGCCTTTTTTTTCTTTTTACCTGTTTCTTTTTATTTATTGACATTTTCTTCTTTTTCTTTTCCTTTCTTTACGTTTTCGTTTTTCTAGTTGTCTCTAGTTTTATCGCAATTTTTATTCTCCTTTTTCAGTTATACTTTTCGTTCACGGCTTTCTTCCTTTTTTTTTTTCCTGTTTTTCTTTTTCGCCTTTTTTTCTTTCATTATCTTTCTCTTTGTTATTTATCTTCATTCGTTGTTTCTTTCTTTCCCTTTCTCTGGGCTATTTCTCTTTTTTCATTCTTTCCATGATTTATTTTTATTTTTATTTTTTTTAATTTATTTATCTACCATTGCGCTATTTACCTTTATTCATTCTTCTCTTCTTTCCTTTTTTTTTTCTATAATTTTTCTTTTCTTTTTTTTTCTTTTTTCATTCCCTTTATTTCTCATAATTTTCTCTTTGACATTTCACATTTATTTTCCTTCTTTCTTTCTCCTTGATTTTTTTTCTCTTCACTTCTCCTTTATCCTCTCTTTCTTTTATTTCTTTCTCTTTCTATCTATTTCACACTTCTGTTATTCTTTTGTTTCCTTCTTTCATTTTATTTTCTCTGCCTTCAATTATTCTCGCTTTTATTTCATTTTTCTGAATTTTCTTTTCTCTATTTCTTTCTTTCTTTATATCGTTGTTCTTCATTTCTCACTTATTTCTCTTCACTCTTTCTCTTTTGTCTTCTCCCTTCTTTATCTTCTTTTTTCTTTTCTTTTTCTGTCGTTTCTGTTTTTTCAATATCTTTTTTTTCTCTTTTATTGTTAATATTTTCTTTACTTTCTATTATTTACTTTCATTTTTCGTATGCCATTTTAATTTTTACATGTCATTTTTTTTTTTTCTTTCATTCAGTTTCTTTTAGCCTTCTTTACTTTTACATCGCCCATTATTCATTTCTTTCTTTCCGTCGTTTCTTTTTTCATCTTATTTCACCGTTTTCTTTTCCTCTATCAGTCATTATTATTTCCTCTTCATTTTTTTTTCGTTTTTTTTTTTTTTACAGCTTTCTTTTTCCTTTTATTTTTATGGACCTCAATTTTATTTCACCATTTCTTTTTCTTTTTCATAATCGATATTTGTTTGTTTTTTCTCCTTCCTTTTCATCTTTACTTTCTTTCTTTAATTCTTTCATTTCTCTCTCTCTCTCTCTCTCTTTCATTATCCCTATCTTATTTCATCTTTTTCTTTCCTTTCTTTCCTTTCTTTCCTTTCTATATTTCGTCGTTTCTGTCTTCATCTATCCACCATTATTCTTTCTTCTACCATTTTTAATTTCCATTTCGTTCCTTTTTATTCTTTCCTTTTTCTCGTTCCAGTTTTTTTATTCCATACTTTTCCTTTCGTTTGAACACCTTCCTTATTTTATTTTTTTTTTTTTTTTTTTTTTTTTTTTTTTTTTTTGCATGCTACCTGCAGTATTTTTGCTTACGAAGTGTCGTGCCTTCCTTCCTCGTCTGCAGGTGAATGTAGCAAGAGAGGAAGACAAATGGAGTCTGGAATCGCTTTTCAGTCTGCGACTCAGTCTATCCACCTGCCTACATCGTTGCCTTAAATTGGAAGAGAAAGCATTGCTTTAAATAAAAGAATTTACATTGAAAGAAATGGCAAGGACAGAATGAAAACGCAATTGAAACCGTCTGCAAACAGGACACGTAGACAACACACGAAATTAATTCGTAGATACCTTCTCTCCCGCACACACGCTCACAGACGTGCCAGTAGGAAAATTTAGTTTAGATATATATATATATATTGACAAAACTATGCTATACATATGGAAAGAGTGTTTAATATCAAAGATATTTGTAGGTGTAGACATTGGGGACACACAAATCAACACGCATGGGAATTGTCACTTTTATGTATCAACCGACCCTCACATGGTTGTGAGGCCTAAAGCTGACAGTCACCGCGCAGTATTTATTTCTGTGTCAACTAATTCTCTCTCTCTATATATATATACAAACTAGAAAGGATCAGCATAAGCAGGCGCAATATGTCTATATTATACAATGAGACATTATATATATATATATATATATATATATATATATATAAAAAACCTTAGATTATTATTTTTATCATCTGTAGTCTACATTGATCTTTACCTGGATTAATATCCTGCTTGGAATTATCCATTTTATTTATATATATTTCGTTCTTATTACAAGACGAATAAAAATAGGTTTGTGAGCTTTGCCATGATTGACGAATCGAACGTTACCTACGCCAAATTCAAACTCACCAAAAAAAAAAAAATTACAGTTCATGACACGAAGTTGTCTGCATACAAATCCTAGACAATTTTTTATGGAAAGATAAAAGTGGTTACATTATTTTGTTATATAATCGTCTGTCGTTCACCTTTCCTAATAAGCAAAATATGAATATTTTTCTGGGATAAAGAGAAAGTATTCTGCTTTTGAAATGAAATTAATCGTTCTCTTGCCAGTAGTTTAACATCGCCCGAAGAGACACATTTGTATTGTCGAAACATAATTGTAATCGTGCAGCGATTTAAAACATATTTTTATTTTAATATCCTAAAATAAATAATAGGTCTGTGTGTGTTCACACATACAAATGCCTATTTTAATCTTTAGGATATATGCATTTATAATATGTCCCCCCCCCCACACTGGATGTACTCGCTGACTGAGGTAGTTGTTTTTATTTTTATTTTGTGGGTGTAAATAAAATATCTCAATGCAATAAGATTTCGAATTCTGGTTTCAAACAAGTAAATCACTGCCGAGTTGAAAGATTGATGCAACATAATCTTTCTCTCTCTTTTAGCAGATGAAGCAAAGATGGCCGATTGGTTATATCGTCCGCTTTCTGAGACTTGTGTTCGAATCTCACCGGAGTTGATTTGTCAGGAATGTAACACCTTCATGTTATTGGTCTGGAGGAGGCGATACTAGCGTGTGGCACCTTTGATCCAAGACTTGTCTGTAAAATTGGGTAGACAGGATTTTTGGTTCTGCTAGCACGAAATCACGCTTGTTCAAACTGTTGATCGCGCTAGATATGACGTTCTCTCCGAGAAACTGTAACTAAAGTCCGCTCACCATCATAGTTGTAGAGGACAAGCTAACCGAGCAAGTAGCCTGGCATCCTCGAATACGAGTTCCTAACCACAATAAAATTGACCTTCGTCCCTGCCGTGCGCTGACGTCTTAGAGGTAGCATCTCCGATTGACGCCAATTCAGCTGGGTTTCGATCCTAGCTAGAGGCAACCGGACGTCTAGCCACACTGAAAAGCTGTGATACAGCGAAACAGTCTATCTGTGGATCACACACACACACGCACACACATATATATATATATATATATATATATATAATCGTTTGGTCCATGTCTCTAGTTCGATGTAGTCCTTAAGGACAAAACGTGTGACTCTACACGAAATGCTTTCACTTTGTCGCATATATATATATATATATATATAAAGAATACAAATAGAAATGATTTCACTACACGAGGAAATATATAAAATTGTAGACGAAATAGAGACTTCGGTTTGAAATTCCAGTCACCTGAAGAATTCCGGAGCGTACAATGGTCGAAACGTCGTGAATATGACAAGTTCGAATAATGTAAATAGCATAATTAGTTAAAATACCTCGTCTCAGAAATATAGATAAAAATTGTAGCTATACCCACTTTAAATGAAAAGTTAGAGAAAATTCTTGCCTGAAATAGAGGAATAAAATATTTTTGCACATTTGCTGTTTGAGAAAATAATTAAAAAAAATAATTTGAACCAGAATTAAAGTGCGGACTTCTAAAAAAAGTGGAACATCGCATACAAACTAACAATGATTTGATTTTGCTTGCGTTGATTTCTGAGCCTTTTTAGGATTTGTGAAGAAGGATGCAAGGGACGTGTGAGTAAAGATGAGGTCTTCGAGAGGATGCAAACAAGGAGGAAGCTTATACTTAACATAAGGAAGGGATAGATGAAATTTCTGGGACACGTAATGGAAAATTTGGGCATGGAGAATCTGATACTCACAGGTCGAATAGAGGGAAAAAGAAACAAGGGACAGCAACGCGTGGCATACCTGGAGGGCTTAAGCAAGTGGGTGATAGAACATGGTCTCGGAGAGTTGGCACAGACACGAAACTTACTGAGAGCTACAATCGATAGGGAGAAGTGGAGAGCCATTATCGCCTACGACCAGAAAGGACAAGACACATATGAAGAAAGAATTATTCATATGAAAGATATATATATAGATAGATAGATATTAATATAAAATTGAATTTTATAGATTATTTCTAATCTATGAAATTATTTAGCCCGTCTCGACTGAAGATGCCGACATGTTGAAATCAAGGTAGTGTGATCGGCTGATCTCATACATATATATATATATATATATATATATTCAAACATGTCTCACTGAATAATATAGACATAGTGTCTAATTATTATACTGATCATTTCCAGTTGTCTAATCATTTTCTCTTGATAATAAAACATTTAAACAATATCAATAAAATGTTGTCATACAAATTATATCATTACGAAAAAAATTGATCAGGAGCACTGAGTTCAAATTGTTGCTGACGTAGGTAGTCATTCCTTTACAGCAATACTCTTACGAACGGTATGAATCCAACTTTAAGATCAAAGATTTATTCTCTTCCATTGTAACGTGAAAGTCTATTATCAGTAGAAATTGTTATATTGGGAACATTTAATGCATTGTATTTGTTAGAGGTAGAAACACGGTGGTGTAGTGGCTTGAATTGAGGAATTGGAGAGTCGTGTTCGATTTCCAGTCGGATCCATTGCTAATAAGAAAAGGTATGAACCCTCTTCTTCCACCCGCACTAGGTAAATAGCATGTCTAGGAGAAGATAACTCTAAATTCAAAACCGGCTTGTAGAGGGTTGGGTTCCATCAGGCTTTCTTGACCAAGAAACACCAATTCTACTGCGGCTCCAGTACGTGTGATGGCGCGATGGGTCACGGGAAATCGCGATCGATTTGTCAAATTGCTTATACATCGGCATGAATAATTGTATATGCTGTGTCGGAAACCTACCACCCCTCTTGAAGATGAACTTGTCTGCAAACAAAGACTTTAAATAGTGGCATGTTCAAAAGACAGAAGTTCTTAGCTGACTTCCGACGTCTGTCGAACTCTCTGCTTCGGCAGAGAGGAACCCGGACGGAGCTTTGCCGAAGGGCAAGGTTTCGTCCGGGGAGGTAGACGGGGCCTGAACCCGTCTAGGCGGGTTCAAGGGCTATATTTTTGGCCGAGCCTACGGGATCGGATCAACCCACATTAAACTCGGCCTTGTGCCACATTCAATCCTCGTGTGGGATCGATAAATACTCAGAGCAGTTCTTAGCTGAGCTAGTGATTGACTACCCAGGCGATTTCTGTACCTATTTACCAACCTATTAAAACTCTTTTTATTGTTACGTGTTATTTGGCGTTTGTCTCTACTAACCCCAAATCAACATCATAACAGTATATATTTATTTTTTGTTTATTACTTATGACTCAAATATTTATTTTTAGCAACATCAATAATAAAAAATGAATATGTAATGATAATTTTATACTTTTATTAGTCTTATTCATTTCTCATTTATTGATTCGTGTCTATTATTGCCATTAAAATAATAAGTTAAAGTGGTACATTTCATAACGAACTGTTCATTCCGACATCCATTGTAAAATATATATGGTCGTTCTTTGTTATGGTAGAGGGTTCCCTTGTTCCACGGATCTTCAAAGCGACGTCGTCTCGCGTTCCAGTTCCTGTAGGGTCACCCATGGCTGTAAAGTGGAAGAAGGACCAGAATGAACGGACCAAACCCCGAAGACCTCAACAGTGGAATAGGTAGATATATACACGACCTCATCGTTCAAACAGTGGGGGTATACAGGCTGGTGTAACCAAGATGGACTTTGACAGACCAAACATCCGACAGCCCGATGCAACCAGATTTGCCAGATCTTGTCTCTCCCAATCCCGCTTGAGTCGCGAGTGGGGCAGGCGCTTCTGGCCAAGTGAGTGGCATTGTACAGCAAATCAAATTTACACGAATGCCTTTATCAAACTCTTTGATTCATCTCCACCACCACCAGAGTGTAAAAAAAGAATAAGGAGAAAGGAAGATATTCTAGATGCCCGGATGCGAGCGGGTACCGACAAATTAGAGAAGAGGTGGGAACTGCTAAGTAATTATCATTACCCAGAGAAAAGGCAGGAAAAACCGCGCATGGTACCAGAAATGAAAAAGATAATAAAATTTATTTCAAGGAGAGAAATAAAGTACATGTCACTCGGAAAATTTTCCAGATGACGAAACACTATGTCTACATAAAGCCTGGGATTTTAACAACAATCACAAAATAAATGGCTGAAGTCATTTTCAATTCGGAAAAATACTGAACAAATGAACTTGTTTAAATCCAATAAAGGAATATAAAACATATCCAACTTAACCTCAAACAAAGAAATAACACATGTAAAGAAAATGAATTGAAAGATACTTTATTTTTCAGTTTGGTTTTGACACAAAGGCGAATAAATATAGATATAAAGCA